GACCGGTGCTGTTCACCTACTGCGATTGACGCGTCACTAAGTCGTTAAGCTTGATTGATGCCCAGCCACACCGGTTCATAACGAAATACTGCAACTCAATCACAGAACGCAATGGTTATGGACTGCGCTTACAGATTTACTGTACATAATAAGCAAGCCTGTTACGTTAATTAACCTGACACATTGTATACATCTTTCAAGACTAGGGTACCGTACGTATGCTTTCTTTAACAGCCATACTACACGACGGGTGGGATATCAGCTAGAGGCTCAGAAAAGAGTTAACAAGCGCACAGACGAAACGATCTCTGGTGTTATAGTGGTCCAAAACTATTACATTTGATACATGCATGCAAGTAGCAGATGTGATGCACTGTGATGTATACATGCAAAAGTGACAAAGGCAAAAAGGCATCTGAATAGGTACGAGCAATCTGATTCACACTGAGATCACTCAGTCATGCATCGCCGTTATATAGCATGTGTCTTTCACGAAACGTGGTCGCGGCGGTAAATGCATATGTTTTATGCATTTGAAAGTCCCAGTCATGCCTGCACAAAACTCCTTTTTTGCTACAATGTATGCGCGGTACTAAAGAGTGCTACTAATTTTTACGCGCGAACACGAGGCGCACGCACCCCGCTTATCACTGTGGAATATCTGAATAGCTGTGACCGTTGCGATGGGAATTACCAAGCAGTTCACCGCATCAAAGATATTCGCCGCCCGCCGCCGTCGACAGGCGTGCCATGGACCAGCATAAGCCACGCTATGTTGGGTCACGGCGCGCCTTTCAAAGATTTCCCAAACCTAAACATGCCTGCGTTGCACACGTGCATCTACCTAATACAAATTCACCGCCAGCCGTGTTCGCACTCCCACGTCTGGGCGTGCCCTTCTACCGCGGTTACAGCGAGCGAGGGTAACGCTGCAGCATCCAGTACCTTCCACCATAGTCCTAATGTCAATCTCCTCCGTGAGGTAGTTGGGTACGAGGAGCGGCGGGTCGTACGGTTGCGGAGCGCAGCTGCACCACGCCCTTGGAGGCGGGCCGCAGCAGCATGGGCACGATCGTCACCGTATCCGGAATAGGATGGGCTTGAACATCTGCCACGTCTGAGCCAGCGGGAGACAGAGCTGGTTAGTGCAGGGCCGGGCGCAGCCGGAGGGTGGGTCGCGGGACTGTCGGGCGCAGGCAGCTGCCCGAGTCACGCCGTCACGCCCGAGTCACGGCGTCACGCCTGAGTCACGCCGTCATCACGCCGTCAAGCTGGAGGGGGGGGGGGCGCTGAGAGAACGGAGTCCAGGCCACTCGGGAGCCTGTCGTGGATGGCGATGGCCCCTAGGTCAAGCGCGAGCATGCTGGGCCATGCAGTCCGACATGCCGCTGCTGGTCTGTCAATCTCAAAACAAAGCGGCAAAGCGGCAGGGTCAAGGCAGGTCGTCAAAGCAGCATCTGTAAAGGAGGTCATGTGGAAACATGTTGAAAATCCTTGTCCTGATGGAAAGAATCGGTGAAGGTGTCTCTGATCCCGTGATGTCACCACTGGCTGTAGTTTGAACTCTACCAAATCATGACTTCTCGCTCCTCTGAGTTGTTACCGATAATAACGGGCGTTATTAACGCCTTACCAACATGCAGGTTACGGTGTCACAGAGTAACACATTTTGGGAAAAGTATTGGTGCTCTGGGCTGCTATGGTTTTTCAGTTCAAGGCGAGTTCAGCAGGACCATTTTTTGTCAAAGCATGCATACCTAGGGGGTGCGCAAAGATCTTAGTGTGGCAAATTTAAGCCAATTACGCTCCGTGGGGGTCAGCAACGCGCTATAAAAATCGAGATTGACATCGGCTTAGACGCTTTAAACAAAGCCCTTGGCATCGCATTCCTAGCAGGCCGATTCGATGTTTTTGCCTCTAACATTTTTTTTATTTTTTAAAGATTTGATCCGAATCCTTTGAATGGATGAATTTCTGGGATCAGAGCTCACGCTAAGCAGTGCTTGTTGCGTGAGCTCTGACCCCTACCACGTCAACGCGTAATTTCATGTCGACGGCAGAATTTGGTGGTGAAAGCTTAACGTGCCGCAATGCTCGGCACGGTTCGTCCTGCCCTCTGGCGTCAACTGACCTTCAGCGCGACCGCTGTCACCGGACGCGGGCATACCTGTTAAGGGCAAATAGCGAGCGCTCTAAAGCGACTCGAACCCAGCGCGCCATGGGTGGGTGGATCGGAAGGCAGGCGCTCCAACCAGCTGAGCCACAGGGGCAGACTTTGAGAAGGACATTAAGGAATTTTGTTACTTGACCGAAGGTGAATAGGATTTTTGGGTAGGCATCAGTGTGTGAATGATTCTGCATCAGTCGCGTAGCAGTGATTGAGATCTTCGCAGGTGGTGTAGACGGTGAACAGGGTCAGCTGCAGTGACGTCTGCAGAGGAAGAAGCCGACCAGCAGAAGATCAGCAATTTAATAAGCGTGCACCGGACACGCTCCAATGCGTAAGAACTTACGATGTGTGTTCAGGACAATTATTTGGTGGAGTAACTGTGTAACACGAAGGTCTGTTCGACACATAGTTTTATTGCCCATGGCTTGGGAAGTTCTGGTCTCTTGGTCGAAGTCGAAAAGTGGACAAAAAGCTCAAGGTGAAGTCAGATGGTGTTAGAGAAGGATCAAATAAACTTCATCTCATTTATATCCACATTGCAAACGCATCATCGAGCCACTCTCGACACAATGATTCGTTTTATACCCATTTCCAAGTAGTTCCAAATGTTTTCATTTTAAACCATCGCTGCCCCCACCCTTTTATTTGAATTTCTTTCCGCTCAGCGCATCAGTAGCTAAATGCTATGGTTAAAAATGTCGAATCAGCTTGGTAAGAGAACGCTAAGGGCTCCGTTTCAACTTTCAAGTCGATGTTTTATAGCGTCATGGTAGCTTCGCTCAGAGTGAAAATGGTTTGAACCTACCTACTTTAACCTTTTGTGCACCCCCAAGCATATTTTAAAAAATGACACCACATGAACTCGCCTTGAACCGGAGAAGCTGACTGACCCCTGAGCGCCCGTTCTTTTTTCAAAGACGCGTTATTCTGAAACAACCCTAATGTGCATGCATCTGCAACACGTTCATGTGCAGATAATATTGATCCAGAGACGAGACTGCGTGTAAACAGAAGCTCTACGGCGCCTAATCCTGCAGTTAACGCTGCTCTAAAAAAGACACGATTCATAACAATTTCTAGCGTCCAATATGACTAATCTAAGCCAACTCTACGCGCAAACGGTAGTTCTGCGGCAACGCAACTACACATATGCAGTATCCTCTACGAAGAGGAGGCAGCACAGACGGAAAATCATGCGGTGGGGCTGGGAGCATCACACCCTTTCCTCCCCACCCCACCCGCTACCCCCCCGGCTCTCGCGAGCGCCACCTTCCACCAGCGTGCGGAACGTCTCGCGGGTCCTGCAGGGGAATTGGTGACGATGTGCGGCTTGTCGAACGGCCGGGCGGAGCGGAGCCGCAGGCGACCGCGGCCTGTACGGTCGCAGCAGGCACAGCAGGATCGAAAAGCCGTCGCGATACGACAGCGGCTTGAAGTAGCCGCGCCACACCTGCAAGAGGCCGGCCGGGCCGCGCCGCGCGCCGCGCGGGTCATGACCGGGCCTGGCAGCCGGCACAGAGTGCGCTCACTATGGCAGGCTTGGACCGGCAGAGCACTCAACATGCGACCCGCGCATGCACGTAAGTTTCTAAGCGCGCGCTCGATCACGCATCTGCTGCTTTTGCGCCGGTGGGGGTCCTTTGTTATCTGGCGTACCCTCCTCTTGTCGTGACTCCCTGCACCCCTAGCCACATCGTCTGAGTATCTCCTTGTTAAAATCCTGGAGATGAGCCCACGTCAGCGCAGGCCGGTGGGGGAGGGGGGGGGGGGGAGTCATCTCCTTTGGGCCGGTATTCTTATTTTAGCACTGTGGATAGCTCTTGACAAAAAGTCAAAAATAAATGTGCACTTTACATTGAGCAATACCTACCGTAGGATCCAGCGTCATTGAGCAGATATGTTTAAGACATCTGCATATCTTACACATATCTTGATATATAGATATCTTGTAAGGCAACAACAAGTGCAGATGTAAATGCCGTGATCGAACCAGCGCAAACGATGAGGGCAGGGCCGATGTGAAAGTAAATTTGCCGGTGCACATATATGGAGCCAAATCGATGCAGTTACAAAAAACGCGATGTGCAAATAAGTAGTTCCGTTTTGGTGTTGCAAGAAACATCGTTCATTGAACTTAAAGTTACGCTTTACACTTAAATGTCCTGCGGATGGAAATATAAACAGGTAACCAAACTTATGCCAATTCCGTGCCAGACAATCAATCACCTTTTTGAGATACGAGAAAACATTGTACGTGATGCCTATCTTTGAGAACAGTTACACGGCGTATTCACGACAAGAATGCGCGCGCCTGTGAAATATTTACTTGAGTACTGGCGTGAGCAAACCAATATTTATGCAAAAATACCGGATATCCAAATGACAATTTTTTTCTTGGTGGGGTTTCCACAGGGAGCAGCAGTCTCGCATTCCGATGAATGTTTACCTCCGGATGTAACATAGCTGTACGTGCTGGTGGCGCAGTGCATCTAATGGCCCTCGGTTGTCGAATGACAACAGTGAGCTGTGAAACCCATATTGCCTACGCATGCATTGCTGTAGTCACATGACTCCTTTCAAATTTTAGTAATTTTCGCGCTAATTAAAGATGCTCAAACCATGCAGCACAATGGTTGCTTATGTCCGTGCAATGACGCAACAAATTTGACACACACACAGCGAGCTGGTGCTTTGTTTTATTACCAGAAAGTATATAGCGTCGAAGGTCTACGAATACTCTTCATTTCGTCCCGTGGCATGTGTTGCCACTGCAGTGATCACGATTTAGACTTCGTGTACGAGTTACTGTATTCACTTTCAGCCATTCACTGTAAGGTCAGCTGTCTACAAAATGCAACTTTCGTCAGGTTTGGTTATACTCAAGTTAACGATGACTAGTCATTCGAGTCGTGTTGTGCCTGACTTCCATGGCATTCAGAAGCCAACTTTACTCATTTTGCATAGGCTCCAAAATAACTAACTTAGAATGGTTGACGATCCACCAGTCTCTGAACAAAATACATCCGTTGTACATACGCATCTTCCTACTATGTAGATGCGTATGCGCACGATGCGCAGAGGAAGATAGTTTGCCGATAAAGAAAAAGTTGGAAACCGAGTGACCGAAATCTGGGGACTTTCTGTGGGAAGAGCGAACATGAAGTCCAGGGGACAAACAGAAAGCGTGGCCTCTCTTTTGACGACACTCTGGATCTGCCCTGGTGACGTAACCTTGTTATGACGCCTAGTGCAACAACAAAGGAGATATAGACAACAGGCAATACTGAAGCAATCACAGAGAGGCGGCAACACATGAAAACTGCGCTTTGGAGCGCTATCCTTAATAGATCGCTATCCCAGTCCATCGAGCGAGCATTATTGACGAATCAATCGAAGCCGGCAGACAGAGACGCTAGCGGCCTCACCTCGTCCGAGAGACCCTGGATTTTCCGAATCTGCCGGCCGCCATCGGAGGCGGGCGTGCCGCTGACGTAGTGGAACTCCACGTCCGGCCAGTCCTCCGTCTGGTTCACGTTACTTGGTCTCTTCACGAAGCCGAGGCCCTCCACGCCGCCCAGCACCGTTAGAGGACCTCTGCCGCCAGCCGCGGCCGACAGGTGAACGGCGGGTAATGTGAGGTGTGCGGCGTTGATGACAGGGAAATGGATGGCAACTTGAGGCTTGCAATATGGAAAGAGAATGCATTTGAAATCAGGGCAAGCTAGTAAGTCTGATGTTTGCTGCTTCGCGAGGCTTTGTCTTACCTGAGCCGAACATTGCATATTTGAGGATGCTCGGAATGTTTTCGTAGCGACTTTGAAACAAGAGATATGGGCTTGTTTAGCACGAAAACTATTCCTCCTGTTTCCTATGTGGTCTTGTAGATTGTATCCGACTGGGAGATCTTGAAATCACTGGTATCCTGCAAACATGTGTCGCGAATGTCAAGAATGAGCACTTTTCTATGAATATCTGATTTTGCGTTGCCGATCGAAAGTGAAAACAGCCCTGCCGTCCCAGCTCTTTCATTTGGCATTGATCATTGGTAACGATGCTACAAGTTAAATATTTTAGACGCAGCTTCATTTTTTAAAAGAGTCGCAAGTATTTAAGCATTCAAATAGCCTCCCAACATGCACAGGTGGTCATGTGGCGAGACACATAGAGGTCAAGGATACAGGCCCTTTAACGCTGGTGTTTAATTATTTATATTACAACAACACGCTGTTTATGAATAAAGCGTCACAAAGGTGAAATAAACGAATAAGTGTATGACGATGAAGCAAACATGCCTCTGAAACAAAAAGTTAGCGGCTATTTGCATAGCCCTGACGGACAAACCATAGCCTTATTCCTGCGCATCCGATTTGACCGTTGAAAATTGGTATCCATTAGGTCCCAATTGTACCGACTTGTGCAAAGGGCGGTGACTTAGCTTCCAGCTAAATGAACGCACTAAATTTTGTAACCATGAAAATAAATCCGCTGGATCCATGTTTTGCATATTAGCTTCAGATGGCTTGGACGACGAAGCTACTCCTCTGTAAGTGCTCCTGGCCTCTGACGAAGTGGCTCACTCGCCTGGGCGTTAGTACCGGTGGAGTCTGCACAAGGATGGACCGTTACGGGGCCCGCCCGACCGCCTCTGCACCGTGCAGCGCCTGTCAACGTTTGCCGTACCGGATAGTGCATCATCACTCACCCATGCCCCAGAACGCATATCTCTCACCTCGCTCTCGGCGGGGTGTTAAGCCATTCTCGTCGTGCCGATAACGGCCGCCCCGCTCCAGCCCCCAGAGCTGCACCGCTCTGACCCCTGGCCGTCGTGGTCGGCCCGCTCACCCCGTGTTCGTAGAGGTGCGAGGCGGGTCCGACGCCCGAGAGCATGAGCAGCTGGGCCGAGTTGAGTGAGCCTGCCGACAGGATCACCTCCTTGCGCGCGTACAGGATGTAGCGCTTCTTGTGGCGCACCATCTCCACGCCGTAGGCCCGTTTCGTGTCCGGGTCGATCAGGACCTGGCGGCACGCGGCAGCTGCAGGAGGGAGGGAAAGCGGGCGCGCCAGCACGGCTTGGCGCGACGCGCTGGCATTGCGATGGCGCGTGGGGGGGGGGGGGGGTTGCGAGCTTCCGGAAGCAGTTTGCGCGGCTGGACTTTGGAGGCGTTCCGTGGGTTTCCCGCGGAGTGTCGTCTCGTAGCGCTCAGTCGCACGACATGATACAGGAATGTCTGTGGTGTGGAACAGAGGCGTGAGACAAGCAGAACGTGGGACAGAGGCGTGCTCATCAGCGAGGTAACGAGCACCGCCGCTTCAGACGCTGCCATGGCTTGCATGAAAGTAGGCTGCGGATGATGTTGCAGCGCGCATTTCTCACCAGGCAGTGCCGTGCCAGGAGCGGAGCACGTTAGCTTCCATATTTGTTGCAGGGTGGGGACTGGGGGAAAGACGCGCTGAAACTGGGAACCATCGCATGTGTGTGGTTTTAGGACCTCGTCAACTCCTCGGCCATTTGCGCCGCATTCTTCCACGGCCGGTGTTGCGAGTCATCGAGGTTATGGGGCGGACGAGTGGATGTCCCTAGCCCTAACGTTCACTGGGCAGACAGGCGTGCCTGCATGATTTACAGTTCACAGATGCATTACGTTATGATAGAATTGAGGCTGTCACTTTCGGTATGCATTGAGTGCGTGGTCGACAAATGGAGGAAAGTCGTTCAACAAAAGAAAACGACACCAGTAGCCTGGTGATGAGCTGCCGAGCATTCAGAACATTCCGGGCACGCACAATGCTCAGTAGTAAAGCACGGGTGAAGGCGACCCCAATTCTCAGCGACTCTTTCCACGTGCCTCCGTCAATGGAATCTCACCTTTGTCACGTGACAATGCATTGCCGTGTGGAGGTTTTTCCGGAGTCGCACCGGTCGGATAAATGCCTTAGACGTGCTACATCTGGAGCCTCTTCGTATTGTGCCTTGCGGTATCATGAAGCCTGCAGAGGAAACGCCGTTAATGAACGCATCGTGACGGCGTCTTGACATTTGTGTCTTGAAACACCCGGCGTATTTGGTTAAGGTTGCGTGGGACAGGAGAGTCTTAACTGCTCCAATGACTTTTCAAGGGCTGTGGGTAACCACTTTCTTCTCCCTCCACAGTCCTCTGTGCCCCTTTCCATGCCCATTTTATCCTCCATTCGATGCGCTGACAGACCGAAGTGTGCAAGGCACGTGGTTCGCAGATGCCACTGTGTCGGAAACATTTGAAGATCATGGCACCGAATCGAACCGATCTGACAGAAACTATTGTCCATACAGTCCCATTCAACGCCACCACAACTATTCCCCCGAGGCGCACGTCAGGGACTCTGCCCTGCTCATTATCCTCCCAGAGCTCATTAACACGACCATTATTCCTCTCCCGCGACCGCCGACACGACTCAAAGTGCCAGCGGAACGCGGACACTGGCCAAGACCAAGTGAAGAAGGCGTCGCTGGCAGCTGACCAGTCGGTCACTCCCACGGCGGGGCCAATTAGGGCGATATGACGGGCGTCGGGCTGACGCAAGCTCGGCGACTTGCGTCAGCCAGGGGCAGTGTCGCCGGCCGGCGCGTGGAAGCGGCGCCTAGCGCGCTCAACCGGAACCGGCCCGGACGCCAGGCCGTCCGGTCCACCGGCCGCCGGCGGCGCCGGCCCGCCGGCCCGTTTTGACCTGGTGGGGCCTGGCGGACCGGTCGCGGGGCGGCGCTGGTCTGGTGGGAGCCCTGCTGACCTCATGGGAGACACTACTGGTCAGGCGGGAGCCGCTGCCGACCTCACGGGAAACACTGCTGGTCAGGTGCGGGCTGCTGCTGGTCAGGTGGGGCCCCTGCTGACCTCACGGGGGACACTGCCGGTCAGGCGGGGGCCGCTGCTGACCTCAAAAGGGACATTGCTGGTCAGGCGGGGGCCGCTGCCGCCTCACTGCTCGTCAGGCGCGGCTGCTGCTGACCTCACGGGCGCCTAGCTGACGTGAAGGCGATCACTTCCGACCTGCCATTCCTTTCAGCGATCTTTGGCTGCAGAGGACCACTCTTAAGCTACGGAGGACGACTCCTGCCCTACTCAGATCTAGTCGGCCCGAGGACCGGTTGGTCAAGTCGATGGAACGACTACCCTAGTGGTACGTCCGGATATGCACGGTAAATTGTATTTCGGTCCAAAAGTGTCGTCAGACACTACCCTACGCAGTTAAGCTGGCCGTAAAACCATTGGACCGTGACGGCATGGAGATGCTGTTAGCCCCCGCGCGAGAGCTATGAATATTAGTGAACACGGCACAGCGTCAGACCGATGTTGGTACGACATTGTCTCCCGCGATCTTCGCTGCAGCACGGCATAACTCACTTATCGAGTTTCTTCACAAACCGAATCAGAAATGTCGTGTTCGGGCTGCAGCACGACTCCGATGCGCTCCGGTGCACTGCATTCGGGGCGAAATCAGCCCAGCCAACGTCTTCCATTAACTCAGCCAGATGCCGTAGCGGCGTGAGCCCCGCAGACTGAGATCGAGCTGGGTGCCCTCAGCCTGGACTAACGTCGAGCTGCGTCCTCTCAGTCGTCGTTCCAGCGTTGGGCGTGTGGCGGGTCGGAACGCATACGCACTGAACTTGAGCTGACGAGAGAAGCCGACGAAAGCGAAACCACAGGGTCTAAGCCGCTACGGTAGTTCGGACGCACAGAAAGTGAGCACGGTTCGCAGCTCGTTTAAATGTGTGGCGGCACAGCGACCGGCACTCCACGGTCTGAACCAGCGCATTACGAGACCATAAAAATACCGCAGAGGCGTTATAAAGCCATCTTCCACTGGCTTCGGCCGAATGCCGAGGCATGCGTTACCAAGGCGTTCCAACGCGCATTGAACGCCACCGGGCTTTTCAGACTTTTCGAGCCGTCGTGTCACTCATCGCGATCCATAGGAGAAACCCTCCGGTAGCTCTGCTATGCCGCCGGATGCTCTGATGGCAGGTTTCTATCCGCCCTGGTAATGCACTTTCAGTGAAAAGTAGAATTGCACGGCGGGAAAGACAACTACCACGTCCCGCCAACTAGCATCGAACCCCAGCTGATATCGCACGTTGGGTAAGGCTCGATTCACGTTGGTTGCTGGACAGCTGGCAGCAGCTGCTCTTGCTCAGACTGCAGCTGATGGGGCCTAAACCGGCGCATACCCTGAGTCACGACCCAGGCGGCCGAGGAATGCGCACTCTTTAGCCGGAAGTGACCCCATAAATTCATCGTGATGCGTGCGGCGAGGTTTAAACTACTGTACCGGGGAGCTAGTCACGGAACGCTGATTGCGGAGACACAGCTCTGATAAACCTCGGAATTGCATCGGTTTTCTGCTGTTCGGTCGGACAGATCTTGTCTGAAACATAAGTGTAGCTCTGCTCTTTCTGAAAAAAAGAAAGAGCAGGCGGGCGAAAAGAAAGAGCATACGAGCGGCACAGTGAATCGTATAGACTTCACACAGCGACACAGTGGACTGTATTGATTCTACCACCTGACATCCCAAGTCAGCCAAGTCCATGTGTTGGTATCATGCTGGCTATTTGGAAACGTCCCGTCTGCAAAGCAGCACGTTTCACATTTGCTTCAGCTTTAAGTGCCTACTCGACCTAGGTGATGTGCTCAGCGAGCTCGAAAATTCGCACATCAGCTAGGTATCTCTTCTTTCGCGTCAAAGAGACACCGCTCGTCCTCGTTAACTACGTGTACGGCTTTGGTTGTTAACGAGTAACAAGCGCCTCTAAAAGGCCGTGAAGCGGCTGCGAGAAAGCACGCGTTGCAGCAGACCACTCATGGCCGAACAATACCGAGTGCCGCACATCCGGCCGTGCTGAAAGGCGGGCTCCGCAGCCGCGGCGGTGGCGCATCGATAGTGAAACGCGCGATAATGGAGGCGCGCGCTTTTTGTGGCGCCCCGCCGCCGCGCGCACACGCATCGTCCGCTCAAGGAAAGTGAAACGGCGGCCCAGTGCTCCAGACGGCACCAGCTGGCGCGGGGAGAAACTGGCCGCTGTCTGCGGCGCCAGGCGCCGCCGGACGCGCGTGCCGCCCGCGCACCCCGACCGCAGCGTTCCCGGCCGGCGCCGGGTGGCCCGCGGCCCCCGTCAGCAAAAACAGGCAAAACAGCCGAGATGTTTTTGGTGGTCCGTTCCGGTGCAGCGGCTGGCGAATTGCCGACCCATGGAGCCGACCTATTTCGGGATGGTGTCTGGTGTTTGCGGCGAATTGGGACCGGCACAGTGGGTCGACGCGGACGGGGTCTAAGTGGGGGAATGCTCCCACGGCGCGCTACCGGGTATCACTCCCACGGTGTGCGATCGAGCGTTGCTCCCACGGGGTGTGGGAGGGGCGCTCCCATGGCGAACTTGGGCATGGCGGGGGGGGGGGTTAGGGGAGGGGGACACTCCGAGCAGCGAGTGACAGCCCGCGGACATGAACAGCAGAAAAACGGCACTTTTGAAAGGACGCAAAGCCCGTCGCCCGGAACTGCAATGTCACGAAGTTGCGAGCCATAGAAAGCATGGGAACGGACGGCCGCCAGCGGTCGCTACGAGCGGTGTGCCGTGAACAGTGCGATCGGCGTGACCTCTTTCGGGGTCTTCTGAGTTGTTGCCGCACCTCCAGCGCCGCCCCGAGGCTGCGGAGGCAGCACCACGTCTCGTGAGGGCGGCGAACGGAGCACCCACCGGTCTGCTGCTGGGCGTTGAAGTCCACGTTCTCGTATCCCATCTCGATGCCGGCCGAGACGAAGGCGGTGGCGAGCGGCGTTCGCCAGGGTGCTTCCTGCACGGTCAGGTAGCCGCCCGTGGAGTGGAAGCGCTCTGCGCGTAGTGGGACGGCAGAGTGAGGCGCAGGGGAGACATACAGCATCGGACGCCGGGGAGTACACCCAGCAATGAACAGAGACTTAGGCACTCTTTAAACAGGGAAGCCGGACTTCGCTGGTGGACAGGAGACACATCGACTCTTTGAAAACTTCATGGGAACAAAAGCGGTTGCAACTGCCAAGCCATTCATGAGCGGGTGCTTGATCTGTGTTGGCAAACGCCATCGCCTCGTCTAAGACTGGGAGGTTAGAAATGAGCTCTGATTTAAAAAAGGGCAAACACATACTGATCCAGTCAGACACCAGCAACGAGTGGCTGGACCAAGTAAAGGAAAGCTACGCTGCCTAAAGGCACGGGAGAAGTTGTAGCTGAGAAGCAGGCTGACAAATTCGCTGCAAAACCGCAGGGGGAAACGCGGCCAGATAGTCGCTCTCATGGTGGTAGCACGCTGAGCCTAGGAGACACACGTGTTTTCCCCACAAGAGCAGCAAACAATATTTAAGGCTGCGTTCAGAACGCATCAAGCTGGAACGCCGTGGGACGATGCGCGTCGCACACGATTGGGCGCTTCCTAGCGGTTTGTGCGTCGCGAAATAGCCCGATTAGAAGATAAATTATTGGGGCAGTTTCCTGTTATTGTCCGCGGTTATTGACTCTCACTCTCCGATTCCCACTGGCATCATTCATCTTTGTTGACAATGGCAAGGCTTGTTCCAGTGAAACTGAGCACTCATGCAATACTCTCTCGCTTTAATTCCTCTTCCGTGTCTGCTGTTTGTCACTTAGAACCCTAAGGCGCCTGCGGCGGCACGGACCGGTGTATGACGTATTGTACCCGTAGAAAGTCATTTAGGGCTTACTATTTCTGGCGAGGTATGGGTTCCTATTGTCCTCCGACTTCTTGAAGTAGTGCAGGACGGTCTCGAAGTCCCAGCCGTAGTTGCCGTTGTTGTACCACTGTTCGTAGTCCTTGCGGTTCCCCCTCACGTACAGCATGTAGTTCAGCACTGACGAGCCTCCCATCACCTTGCCGCGTGGCCAGTTGCAGCGCTGGAACGGGACGTCCAAGTTACGAAGCCGTTCTTACTGTAACACTCGGCAGCGTCATGCTTTATGGACAGATATGCAGCGATGCCTTGAGTCTTACCGCTTGTCCAAATTCACCGCATGTCGCCCAGCGTTGTCCTCGGGCTCCGGCGCGTGACAGTGGACGTAAGACGCAGGCTCATAGCAGAGCCACTAGTTAGTTGCAATTAGGTAATCTCATGGCGCTCATAAATCCATAAATCAGAAGGGGTTCAATGTATCTCAGGCTACACACCTCGTCCAAATATTGCACTCAAAGCTGTTGACGGTGAACCAGGCATGCGTCTCGCAAAATACCTTGGCTGGCCGACACTCGCTGCGGTATGCGCAATCATGACCATACCTGAGACGTGACTACACGGGCTGGAGTGACGTGTGCACTCGAAAGTGTTGCCAATGGCCATTGTTGGTACCTGGCGGTCGCTCTACCGCCCAGAATCACGTGGGAAGCTAGAAAAGTACCGTGTAATGTCCCGTCCAGACCATGAATAGGTAGTTCGGGCTCGTACGGGGCGTTCACACTTACTGTCTTCACAACCCCATAATGACTCGAGCCACAAGACATGCCATAATTATTCGCAGAGCTCGTGGCCGTTTTAGTTTGACACCAATCACAGTGCGCCAGAGGTGTGCGCGAGCTCAGTCACAATATCTATTATCCACGCACTGAATACCGCATGTGATCACGATCCGTTTCCTGCTAAGCATAGCTACAGCGCCGGTGAACGCTCGAACACGGGCTCGTGATAGTGTCGAATCGCCGAGATAGCTCGTGAGCTGCATTCTCCGCTGCACACTGACGCAAGGCTCGTGATACACCCGGCGCTGCAACGCCTCGAGCCTGGTGCAGCTCCTGTGAGCCTCGGTCACTGCGTGCGGCCGGGCCAGCTCGCGCCTGACGTCACCACCCCGGCCGGCACCGAGGTCACCCTGGGTCACTGCGGCGCGGCACGCGAGCGGCGCCGAGCGGGGTGGAAGCCACCAGCTGGAGACGCCACTGGGCACAGCCAGCCACCGGCACGGACCGGGGAATGGGCAGATCGTCATCAGCAGTCAGCAGCAGTGCCAGGATAATTAGTAGACACTTATCAGCAGTGATCGAGAATGACCAGCGGTGACCAGCCGCAACCAGAATGTGAGGAGATGCTAACCACTAGTGATCAGGCGTTGAGGAAACCCTGACCAGCAGTGATCAAGAGTGACTAGCAGCGGTCGGTAATGTCCAGCAGTGACACAGAACGAGGTCAGGTCACAGACTCCGCAGCCTCGGCTATGGGCATACAGATCACAGGAGCTGACCGGAGGCTGCGAGTGACCCGGGCAGGTCTGGGTACCATTCGGGCCCCAAGAGGCGCCGCAAGTTCCGGGTGGCAGCGGCGCCATGGCTCGGGGACCCGGAGCGTCGCGGTACAAAGTGGCTCAGTCGTGGTGATCAGAGGGACGGCTGCGCGGTTTAGAGACCCCGCTTGGCAGTTGTCCCAGGCCTGGCACGGCTTACCGCTGCCAGGCCTGGGAGACACGGGCCTATATCGGAGCTCTCGCCCGTGCACATTATAACTGCCCTCGTGACCCGCTTGCCCATGACACCCACGTCGCTCATGTCGGAATGTGCTCACCATCAGATATGCTGATCAGCGAGCCTGCAGCGAACAGGCTCAGACGCCTGGCGTGTTGAAGATGGCTGGCGTGAAAGGAGTGTAGTATGCATCTAGGACTCACGGGTTCGGCGGGGACGCGCTGGTGTCCATTTTGATCAGCCAATAAATATCGTCACGCCCGGTTCGCAGTCGGCATCGCCAAATGAGCTTTCACGGGCAGTGTCGGAGCCGGTTTTGTCTCCTGGCGCGCACGGCCGCCCTACTTCCAGGTGGCTCGGAGTGCGGCGCCATGAATATGGCGCGCAACGGTTCGTGCAATGCGGAGGGCTCAGCCTTACACGCGCCATTGGTTACATGCAGCATTTAAAACGAACCTTATATCGGGAGTCGGTCCCGCACAGCCTACTTCGGTGTTCGTATCGATCGTGGACCCATCTCTACCAATTCTTGTCAACGAGCTTTTTGACACCGGTATGGCGAATGGCGAGCCATTTACACGAATTTGGGAATTATTTGGAAATGATCGGGTCAAGATGCGCTCGGCGTCTATATACATATATCCCATGCTACATACTACATACAGACTACATATATCACGTATCATATATCATATATCACGTACATACAGTATCCAATGTCACATCGAACATCAGGATTGTCGTACAGCATGCAGCTGGAGATGTAATGGTTTAGCCGGGCTCATAGGGGATATGGAAGACCACACCGTGTTCACTGCTGATACCAGCTGCCACAGAACAGCCGCCTGTCGCAAAAATTCGGCACACTGCGGCGGGCCAGAGTGTGAGCTAAAGTCCTAGCCGGCATCCCACGCCTTCTAAAGAGGCGTTACACTCGGCTGGCGCGGCTCAAGTCGCCACAGACAACCTGAACTAGGGCAGCGCGAAGTCTGGAGTCTATAACAGAACCGAGCACTAGCTGGAGCTTGTCTCAAAACCATCAAAAGTTGGCCGGTCTAGACATAAGTATTAAAGCAAGGGCGTTGAAATGGGAGCCATGGTCTGTGTCGCATGCCTGGCTACGCCGTGTTTCCGACCAGATGTCGACTGCAGCCACATCCCGGCCTCAGCTTGACAATGGGTACCAGCTGTCGTCGGTTTTTAATCAGCAAATAACGGACAAATACAGCTTCTCGATTAGGCGAATGAACATCTGCGTTCATGTTGGCAGAGTATGTGGACCAAGCCAACCAATTCAATCGAAAGATGTGACAAGCGCGATACCCACATGACACATGAACTGAATGGTCTGGTGGTGATGATTTTCTTCGATGAGAAGACGAGCAAAAGGCTAACCCGGTTTCAAATGGTTGATGTCAGCTGTTTTACGAAAGACGCTTGGTCACGTTTCGGTAATCGCATAGTCTTTCAAATAAATTTGGGCAACGATCTTAAGCTAGTAACGAAGTGCACGCTCATATGACTGTGCTGGTCAGTGACGTTCTGCGACATGTGTTCCGCTACAGCTGCCCGTTGCCCAGTCTCAAATCTTCCAGTCTTTAACTTGTGCTTTTCCCCGTTGAGCAATCAAAATGCACTCACCGGCCGCGTCCATAAAGAGCTACAAAATGCCGGCGCATTTGTTAAAAGCCTTTGGACTTCCAGAGCATGATGAGCACCTTGTCACACGTCCCGTCACCACTCTTAACTAATACACAGCTTACCAGCTTCATCCAGCAGGTGGCCTCAGGCTGGCTTCGATTAGAGCACTTTCGGCCAGTAATGACCATTTCTGGGGTATGGAATGAAGGGGAGTGGATAACGCTGGGGTGAAACTACGTCCATAGGAAAATCCATCCGCCGAGTCTGAGCTCGCACAGGGACCTCTGTACCGTGTATGTGCTCGGCGCTCGGACGGGGATGCATCAGGGGACCACTAAAGGCTCACGCATGGCCGGTGCATGCAGCTTGCCCTAGATAAACGGGGCGTCGAGAGAACGCAGGGTACAGCGAAAATGAGAAGATAGGGGTAGATGAGCGCACGGCTCCTCACAGCCACCCAACGAACGGATTCCCACTCCCGCCCAACACACGGCTCCCCACTCCCACCCCACACACGGCTCCCCACTCCCACTCCATGGCACCAAACTCACGTGTCCGATGTAGGCGAGGCAGGCGCTGGGCTGCGGCTCCGTCTTGTACTGCCAGTCCAGCTTGCTGAGCTGCAGGTAGCCAGCGAGCGCGGGCACGTCCGATACTTCGGTCTCGTCGCCGCCCGCCTCCAGCAGCAGCACCTTGTGCGCCGGGTTCTCCGTCAGCCGGTTCGCCACCACGGCTCCCGCAGAGCCGGCCCCCACTGCAACCAGAGTAGAGCAGAGGTCGGCCGCGGTCGGGGTCGGGCGATGATCACCGTGTACACGGGGCGAACAGAGCAGAGGTCAGCCCCGGCCGGGGGTGAGCGGCGGTCACCGTGTGTACGGGGCGAACAGAGCGCGGGACGGGATCACGCGGGTTGCGTCGGGCGCGGGATGAAGGGGAGTAATGGTCGAGCGGGGAGCGCCGACGGTTCCCTCGTGGTTGGGACTTCCGGAGTGTACTGTGAGGCCCTGTCTCAGCTACCCTCACTGTCTACCAACCAGACTGTGAAATATGAAATTTCATTTTGACAATAATCGAGCTTCAACCTACCATGAGATGCTAGCTAAACGATGGTGTCAAGGAAGCATTGGCTGAATTTAAGCTTCAAGCCATGTCCATGATCACGAAAGAATATATTATGTAAAACATGTCTTTAAAAGCTGAGAGTCGTCAACCCAGGACACCCCATTTTGCCATTCTTCTTTCGCCCTTTTATCGCGACTTTCCACTCTCACACAAAACACCGTTCGCCACTCGCATACTGCCACAATTTACTTCTCCGATTCAACACACAGCTCTCCACCCTCGCCCAAAGCACATCCTGCCACACTCAACAGATTCATCTAAAATCCAGATCCATATCCGTTCAAGTTCGAACCCCGGTTGCGCCATGGCTTCGAGCGGTAATAGTTTCAACGCTGTCGCTGGCGCTCCATTAAAGGGTGCGTGACGGCGCGCGCCGCGTTGTGCACGCGATTCCACTGAGCACGGGAAGAATCTGCTGGATCTCCCGTGTCCACATGGTCCCGCTGGGTATGGAACGTGTTTTGCATCCCAAGCGTATGCTATGCCCACATGGGCACCACCGGCCATGAAGCGTGCCAATCGTATCCATTCAAGGTACGTCGTACACAGACTGTGTTTTTCTGTGCTCCGTGTCCACGGCGCAAAGAGCATGCGACACACCCGGGCTGTTCAGACCCGCCGAACACCAAGCCACATAGACCGCCAACAATCAGAAACGTTCCAGAGAAGACCACAAATTGTGACGGCAGTGACACTAGACAGCATTTTAAGCATTCCGCGGGTCTCTCAGCGGACGTCAGCTTCGCGTGACGCTCGCGTGACGCTCGCGTCCGTGCCCGATCGTTCCTCATAGCCGGTGAGCTCCGGCGGTCGCCTGGCGGGGCGGCAAGCGAGCGTTCCGCCTGGAAGGCACGCAGGCGTTCGGACAGTCGTCAAGAGGCGGGCAGTTGGCCCGTCCAATGGCCATTCGGTTGCCGGGCTGATCTGGTACAATCTCACGGCCTCATTGCTGGACCCACGGTGGCTGGTTATGAGGCAGTCGAGCTGCACCAGTACCGACCCTCACGTCATGGTTGGGACGACCCCACATCCCAGGCGTCGGGACCTCAGCCTGGGCACCCGATTCTCAGTCTCGGACGTTGAACCCTCAGCCCAGCAGCCGCGCCCCCAGCTCCAGGCGCCGGGTCGTCAGTCGGCGCAGAAGGCTGAGCAGCCCCGGTCCCGGCCCTGTCCTCCGGGTGACCGACCCTCCGCGGCTGGCCGTAAGAGGCTGAGTCACGCTGAGCCCGACCTGTCGGGCGGCGGGGCGGGCAGGGGAGAGCTGGGCCGCCGCAGCGCCGCCGCGCGGCGCCGGTAGCGGATCTTCGGCCGGTAGTGAGAGCGGCAGGCCGGATACGGACGCGGCCCAGACCCGCCCCACATCTCCGTCCGGCGGCGGCGCGGCACCTGTCCAGGTCAGGGGCGCATCCGTCTCTCGTCCCGGGCCGTCGGCAGGTCGGCCGCCCCTGGCTGCCGCTAGCCGCCGCTGGCCGCCGCGCCCCGTCCGAGGGCATGACCCACCACCGACGGACGTCGCCAGTCAGACGTGACCTGCGCCCAGCGCAGGCTGCGGCGGTCGGGCCGGCCGTGACCTTAGGTTTGTGACTGGAAATTGGTGCCTGCTGGTGGCTGGAGGTCACCAGCCATTGCGAATGGGAGTGCCGCCCAGATGGTTGTGACCAGCGCTCACCAGATTTGGCAACCAGTGGCATGGCTCCGGCACGTGTATGGCCGAGCGACCCTGGCAAAGAAGATTCTCTTTCAGTATCGGTTGATCCCGTTCTCAGGAGATTTGTGGGTGCTCGATTCGACTGCTACCTGGGTAGAATACAGTGATGGACTAAAAGCGTCGTTTACGCGTTCGCTGAGCTTAATTGTTGGAATCAGTAATGGTTGCATCTCATATATGTAGTACTTCGGTAGGTACAGCAGTTTCGTAGCACAACAATTTGCTTGATGGCCTCATTAGAAGCGAAGAGACGACAGATATCTATCCCGGAAACCGAGGGAAAGTCATCAAGGAACAGAAGACTAGCCTGGGAGGACAGCCGGCCTCGAATCCACGCCGCTGTCCACATGCGCGAACGGACCAATTAGACATCAGGCGGAAAGCGATAACAGACCAATCACATGTCAGATAAGAATGAAAAGTCCCAGCCCAGGACAACCCAGGACAGAACAGAAGCAAAGCCAGATTCTTGGTAGGGGGGCGCAGTGTTTGATGGAGGGGCGCCCGGTAACCCCCCCCCCCCCCCCCCCTACGATCAATTACCGGATTTCTCTCATTTTATTTCCAGATGGCTCCAGTCGTCCTCGTTTCTTTACCCAGTTATGCCGATGAGGGGCACAGTGAGGGGCACATTGATTGGACGCTGAGGAGGCCCCTATCTTTTCCGACTACGGGTCCTGTGTGTAGAACAGTAGTGGCCCATTGTCTTTCCCACTCAGGGGTTGAAGGGTTTTTTTTCAAAACCGTGGTATCTACTATTTCTATAGCCAACACCCATTCTGACGACACGGGGCAAGAAGTCCCTGATCGATCCAAAGACCCTCAGAGGAATACACAAAATATCCATGCTCTCGTTGACTAAGGGGATGCTCTGGCCGCAGCAGTTGGTCCCGGATCGACATAGGGCCCTTTCTGACACGTCTAACGCATGAGGTGCTGTGACATTCAAGGTCCCACCCCTGCCACCGCTGAACAGGTCCCCCGCCGCACGAGGCCGACTGTTCGGCGTGGTAGTCTGAACGGCATGGGACCCTTATTATCCCGAGGGGCACGTAAGGGGCTCTGACATTCGGACACTCAGGGGGGCCTTGGCCCTGTGCGCCGGCGTCCCGTTATACAACCTCCAGCCATCCCTTGACGCCGTTGATCGTCGGTCCCAAGCGGCAGGAGGAGGGCCATACCCTGATGCCCTTTCCCCGCCCTGTCCCAACAAATATATCGGTGTAGCGCTGTGAAACCTCAAATAGCTGAAGATAACCACTGATACAAGCGTGATAATCCGCAGACATTTTCCGGTTTACCGCTTCAAACTTTTACAAAAAGGAAGTCATTTCGCCAGGCTTGGCGCATTACTCATGCATGCCCAAAGCACGCCAAGGCACAAGCGGAAACGGAAGCCACTCGCACCGACATCTCGCCCCGTGAAATGCCACCGACCCACAGGCGCGCGTTTGCCTCCAAGTCACGCCAGCAACTCGCGGACGGCCGACGGCGACCGCTCCTGGGACTGGCTAGGCGAGGCCGGATTAAGCCAGGAGAAACCCGCCGCCGCCGCGCGTCGCAGGCGCGGCCAATGTCGCATCTGTATGCATACCGCCGGTCGGCCGGGCTTTCTACCCGACGAGCGCCCCCACTGCAACCCACGATATGCGCCCGACGAAGACAGACGGGCAAAAAATATGCCATCTGCACCCACAAAAACACGAAGCGCGACAACCCATCTCGTCCCTGCCAGGGGTCGGTAACCATTTCGCGTCCGGGTGGGTCCGCTTTGCGCCAGCTGAATGCAACAATACGCGTCGGCGCAGAGTGGGGTTGCAAAATGGATGTCAGCGGGTCCCATGACAGCCTTGTCCATCACAGCTCACTGATTGCTTCACTGGAATGATGAACCATTCAGGAAATTGCACCTGACTGGGAAGGGCTCACATGCATGTCACCGTGTCGTGACCTCGGCTCGACGACCCAGCGACGTCTTCGCCAACCCAAAAGGGAGCGCACCGGCACCCCCGCACCAAAGCACGGCCAGCAAACCAATCATCGTCAACACCAACCAGCGCTCCACGGTCGATGGCGCCGATCGCGCCGTTCATCAGCGAGCACAGGTCCGCCTGCACGGCTCGCTATAGATTCCAAGACAGCGACGGCTGATTCGTGACGTGGGCCCCGTTTGTTCGCCAACGGTCCGTGAGCCGGGCCGCACGGTTGCCAGGCCCGCCTCGGCCGGCTCCGCGGCCCGCCAGCTGGCCGTGCTGCGCGCCGCTCCGCACGGCGGCGGCGCCACAAAACGGCCGAGCAAAAACTGCCACTCCGTGCGGAGACGCATTTGCTGTTGTGACAGGGACGGCGCTATCTTTATCCGGCGGCTTTACTAAGTGGCCGTCTTCCCCAGGTCGCCGGGGCGGCGGGCACGCGACGACGCCGGCAGCGTTGCGAAAGCGCACGGTTGCCGCCGCCAATGCAGGCCGGATCCGTGCCGTAAGGACGCTGGATGACGGCCGGAGGACGCGGGCGGAGGGCGGGGCTCCTGAGGGAGCGGGAGGAGATGGGCTGGCGCCGTCTGAGGGGCGGAGGAGGTCGCTCGGAGCGGATCTGATCGTCTGGAGAGTGGCAGCCCGTCTCGCGGCCGTCCCAGGCCGCACACAGCTTCTGGACACTGCAGGTTCAGGAACGGCTGGCGCCAGAGAGTATTACCCCTGGTGGCGATGTCTGTTACAGATCGCGATACCAGTGACCATATCACGCATTTGCAAATTACATGTGCCGATGAAAAGGTTCCCATCCACGCCTGTATGGGCGGCGGTGCACTCGCGACACACCACGCGTGAGTTTGCCGTGTGCACACAGTCATATCTGCGTAGTGTGGTGTGCTACAAAGCTGTCTTGGCTTATGTTTGTCCTCAAAACTGGCGGCCAATGTCGATTGCTCCCTTTCAGGCTGGCTTATTTGCGCTTTCCAATTCTGTGCGGAAGCGGTACCCAATGGAAAGTGTAAATAACCATGGGAGCTCTAGCCATTTGCAAGCTTTGTTTAAAGTAATCGCATGCCTTGCTCTTGCTCAGTAGTAGTTTCGAGTTGTATGCGAGAGTATACTGATCCCATCCGCTTTAGGCAAAGATGTCTGAGGGAGGAGTAAGACGCCCACATACTTCCAGAAGTTAACAAGAAGCATTAACGGGATTTCTCTGCAGTCGGAGTAAGCTCTGAAAACTCTGAAAGTAAGGAAGATGGGTACATGAGAATTGCAATTTGAACAGGAAAACAATATAGGTCTAGTTCAAGATGTGACAGAAGCAGTTCAGTAGTTGGCGTGCTCACTCTGCTATAGATTACATGACGTTTTTGTTGGCACCTTCGGCTATTTTGACGTTTGCCTCGTCCGGGAAGACGGGGTAACAACAACGCGATATATTTTGTGGCATGAAATGAAGATTCTGCTACTTCTCGGTCCCTTTTAACTCTTCAATACAATAACTGATGCATGCGAGAAAAAACTGCCTACACCTGCACCTCATAATAAAAAACCCTGCAAAACGATGGCAAACGCCACATTCCACACACACCCACGAGTCCATCACAGCCGGCCGCGAGCAGACTGCTGTCCATGTCGGCCCCGGCTGACGTCACGTTATGCCCACCTGACGGCCCAGTCTGACGTCATATTCTGCCCGTCTGGTGGACGATTGTTTTGCAAGCCAGCAAGCTCTGCTGGTCGTCAGCCTTAGTCGCCTTCCGCAACATGTGTGACGTCACAACGCCATCGGCCGCTAAGCGCGAGGCCGCCGTGTTCACAGCGCCGTGCTCACAGTGCCGTGAGATCAGAGCGTAGTGTAATCAAGAAAATGTGGAATATAGTTGGCGCATTGTCTCTCCTCCTGCTCGCCTTGACGGTGTGGTAGGCGTATTCAAGATTGTAAAGCGATCAGCTGGTCCGCTCATTGAACACTTGATTTAGTTAATTTTTTGTTGAACATATCAGTGGCGCCGCGAATGCACAGCAGCCCTCCCGCCGTCGCCCTTCTCCTCTGATGTCCGGCTTGCCGCCCCAGCAGGTCGGGCGCTGACACTGGGTCGTCGCCTCCCGTGCCTCCTCTCCCGTGAACAGCTACGGCGGCCGCCAGCGCGGCGTGGCGGGGCAACTGTGCCGCGAGAACGGACGGGTTTTGCGGTGGGGTCGCGCGGCCGTCCGATCGCTCCGGGCACGCGAGTGGTGGAGTGGGACGGGGGCGGGCACTCCGCCGTCACCGAGATCAGGCGCTTCGCCGAAGTGGTGGGGTGGGGACGGGCGGGCACTCCGGTGGGACCGAGAGGTCAGGCGCTTCGCCGAAGTGGTGGGTGGGGGGGCGGGCACTCCGCCGTGACCGGAGATCAGGCGCTCGCCGAAATGGTGGGGTGGGACGGGACGGGCACTCCGGTGGGACCGAAGGTCAGACGCTTCGCCGAAGTGGTGGGTTGGGGCGGGGCGGGCACTCCGGTAGGACCGAGAGGTCAGACGTTCGCCGAAGTGGTGGGGTGGGACGGGGCGGGC